AGACTAACTGAAAAAAATTCCAGGACCCCACTATTTTTTCAAAATACCCAATTTTCTGATTTTACCAGAAAATAAACTCCAACAAAATGTTCTAGCAATGACAGTAAAACCTATAGAAAAAATACCTGTTCAAGCAAAAAACAGAATATAAATCAAGATGTTAAAAGAAATTCGAAATTACTTCACATCACTGAACAAAGCATTTAGAAATTCTTTGTTATTTACAGTCCCTTAACTGTACTTCAAATTTTCCAATCCAGTTTAACAAGTGATAAAGCCTTGAATCTTTCTCATAAATATTGTGCTTTAGCCAGAGATGAAAATTCCTCTAATGAGTAACGAGACAAATAATTATTGAACACATTATTTCAACTTGCCAACATACATCTTGTAACATCCATGCAAAGAATTACTCTTATACTTTTAGTGAGACCACCATCATATAGTTGCATACATTAACAGTATTGTACAACTTGCTGTTTTCATACATATTTGAATTTCATTATTTTTAAATGGTTTTCTCAGTCTACTGCAAAAGCCCCATTTAATAAAGAACTGAAAACCTTATCAGTCAATAAAATGTTTAAAATTTTAATGTTCTGTTCAGTCTATTAGCTTTCTTGAATGATAGCACACACCAATGTTTAAATGGTATTCAAAAAATTTTTATAAATAAAATTTATTTATTGTCAAGGGTACTGCCATGTGTATCATTCATCACAGGGAATGATTACAAGTAAAATCATGAACCAGTTTTTTTATGAATTATGCTCATATTATACTTGAAACAAACAAGCAAAAAACTAACAACACAGAAAGACAAAAGAATATTAAACATATCCCAATATTACATTTAAGTTCCGACTGTCCCTGCAATATTTAGTAATGAAGTTCAAAATGTTATTCAAAATATCCCACCCTAGGTCAATCGCTATATACAAATAATATATAATATATATACCATATATAATCTGACATGTTGTCTTTAATGGAAAATATTTCATGCATGATGGTTAGGTTTATGATACTCATTCTATTGTAATGTCGCCATTTCAATTCATTTCTCTCTCTATCTTTTTATTTATGAATAATAGGTAATAAATTACAAAAACTTAGGACAAAAATGTTAATTACTTTGAAGTACTTATGCTGACGATGGAATTAGGAAAATTCAAAACATCTATGTTCTTTATCACAACAAATTATTTTAGATTTGTGACAAAACAGTCTTGAGCTTTGTGTTAACATTATTAGTCAAGTAACACCTGTTTGCTTGCAGGAGGATGAACATAGTTCATATCCTGTTACTAATCAATGTTACAAAGTCAGCATATTTCAATTTTATGAAAGATATTTCCTAGAGACTGTTTTTCACAAAACTGAGATATGGGCTTGTTTTCAGTAAAAACAGAGAATATTGGAGAGATGGGAATAGATTTTCAATTACTTTTCCATGACCTCCTGAGAAAACTATTGATTTTCCAGGATTCTCATTTTTTAACAGTTTGTTTACAAAATTCATGACTTTCCAGGATTTTCATTCCCTGTTTTGAACCCTGCTACACAATAGGCTATCTGTGTCTATCCATCATGGGGAATCAAACCCACATTTTAGTATTGTAAGTCCGTAACCTTACCACTGACTCATTGGATAACACTAGGGCAAGTTGTATTTTTAATAGTGAAAATACTAGACCCCAGTAATCTTGTTGATTGAACACTGGCTACATTACACAAAAAGAGTGAGTTTCATAAATGTTATTCAAAAATTACTGATCTTTTATGTGAATACTGCTTGTATTACACACTAGAGTGAACTAATTAACACTGGAATTTGGATAGTGCAATCACTAGAATCATAGTAAGCTAGAGAACTCTGTTATTTGAAAATTGTCAGATTAGGAAAGATTAAAGTGAAGCTTGTAGCAATTACTTAAATTTTGCCATTGTTAGGCATCAGAGCAAGCCTTATAGCACTTATTTGGCTAATGTCAGTAATTTGTCTATGAAATTAAGACACAAATATCAAAGAAAACTACAATCAAACACAACCAGAAATTATGAATAAATTATCATTAAATCAAGTTTCACATTCCATGATTTTACTTAAATACAGCCATACAATATCATATATACATACATTCTTTATAAACATGAAAATAAACTTGATAACTGAGTAATATGAGCTGCAGCCATGACTTCATAGTTCACTAATTATATAATAATAAGAAAATTCTTGGGTATCACACAGAAAGGAATAAATTGTGTGGCCTTTCACAGACAATTAGAAGTCTCTCTATTCATATATCTATGTATCACAAAATCCAACTTGGCTTTCAAAACTTAATTTCACGATATTTAATAAATTAAAACTCATTACTAAATCTCAAACTGATTTACATTAAACTTGAAACAATATTATTTAGCTGAATAATTTAAAAATGAAACAATGAAAGCCAAACTTCTCAGCAGCTATACAGCTGTAAAAATTTTCATTCATTTGTGACTTAAATGACAAAAAATCATCTGAGGCAATACTGAAAACCAAAACTCTGGGGGTGGGGATATATACATATTCACACACACATACACACATGTATATATTGATATACATAAATACAAAATATCATGGAACAAAATAAAACTCCATGTTTATGGAGATTCTGCTTACAGTATTATGACTGCATGAATGACTTAATTGTACAAATTTTTATCTGCATATATTACACGTGTGTAAAAGAAACATTTTGCAGACGTCCACACTTATTGAAAATAAATAACTGGGTGTATTAATTTATTTACTTTATAAACTCTCTGTATGGTTACCTCCAGCAGGAAATGTTTCTCAGACACCACTTGTAATTTCAAACCACTTTTAAACATTTTAAAAAATGAAATTTTTTTGTTCTGCCATATTCTGTAGCACATATTAATATTGAAGATTTTTCTTAGTATAGCCATTATTCTTTTCAAACAAATGTTCTAACATGTCATTCTCAAATCAGTTAAAATTATTTTTGACATATGTTAAGAATTCAAAATGATAGATAATTCTGTACTTTATTTATCTATACCACTGTGGGAGACAGAAGACTTTAAAAAAAATATGTTGAAATATGAATAAGCAATAATTCATTATTAATTATCTGTCACTACCCTCTTTTTTTCAAATTAAAGTTTTAGCCTACAAATTTTATTTTTATTCCATTCAATTCACAGGGCTTCACATACTATTATACCCACCATAATTAACTTATTCAGTGACCGTCTCTGAGTAAGTACTATTTTTCTTAATATAGGGTTTTTAAATTAATGAAAATTTTTTAAAAATTGTGTTTGTCTGGCATTTTTTGGTACAAAGCAACTAAGCTCTCTGTGCCAAATCTTTATTTTAGATCAAAACAAAAGGTCATTGAGTAAGCATGGTAAATAAATTTTGTGATATATATACTATCTATGTGTTGATTAAATATTAAATGAAGTGTCTAAAAATTGAGCTTCTAGACATTCACAGGCCTAATTCACTGGACACTGAGGTCAACAACCTAGTAAATATTGTTTATAGTTGACACCCAGAAATAAAAGTAATCCGAGATTAGGATTAATCTTTTAACTAAATATCTTTTCTAGATAATCTTTTATGATCAAAATTACTTCAGGGCAGATATATTCAATTTGACTTCTAAAGATTGAAGCCCATTTAAGACTAATATATATATTACACAAAACATATTCAGTAAAAGACCTTGTCAAAACAAATTTATCTGAGGCCATGTTCAGCACTAATAATTATCCTCTGTAGATTACCTTCAGAGATCAGTCATTTATGGCTGAGGTCAACTTTCTAATGAAAGTCCTCCATACCAATGAATATCTTTATTAAATAACACAACAGAACAAACGTCTGTTAACGTAGATGAAAGATTTTCTGTAAGATAATATATTTATAACTGTACATGAAAAATATTAATCAGTTATTTTCCATAAATTTCATTACAGTAATGTTAATGGTACAACTATCACCTTGTAATCCTAAAATGAAATAACGTTGGATTAAAATTTACAAATCAATAATTAAATTGTACTTGTAAGTTTACAAACTTGTCAGCTAAGGCCAAATTACTGAAAAAAAAACAACTTCCCTTAAGACCAATAATGCTTGGAGATGGCTTGAATGGGAAATGAAGAAAAACTTTAATACAAGTTTAACATAACAGCAAATGTACAGGTACAAGTAGTTTACACTGACATATATATACACATACACACACAATGGTGGAAAACAAGAGACGGTTTTTTATTGTTCTGTGAATCTGGTTTCCAATTTTCTTCCTGCTTCTCTGATGTAGAATTCTGGGCAGTTGTATGTTATTTTGTAAATGACGTTGGTATTGTGTGATTCTAAATAATTTTTGTTTAGTAAAGATTTCAATTTAGGGCCGGGTTTTTGTTTATGTTTAATGGTTAGTCTTGTCCAAGTGTGGATTATTCTTGAGCTAGTTTCAGGGACAAATGGTAAACTGCAGTGTAATGTTCTGTTGTTGGGTTTGTTACTATCAATTTTGTTCATGAGTTGAGTTTTGTTGTGAATTTTGGAGAGTTTTTCAACAATAGCTGGTGGAAATTTGTTGGTGTAAATGAAGGAATGCTTTATGTGGTTGATTTCTTCATCTGTGTAGTCCATTGAACTGTGTCTTGTGGCTGTGTTTATGAGGTATTTCAGTGTACAGATTTTTTGAGTGAAATCATGAGCAGAATTCCAGGGGATCTAGAGGCCAGTGTGTATGTTCTTCCACTGAATTTTGGTTTTAAACTGTGTGTCTGATCTAATAATGTTGAGGTTAAGAAAAGATAACTGTTTATTGTTTTCG